CTGTCTCAGAGTTATCCAAGCAGTTCGAAAGGGCAGTTTACAGCCGGTTTCTAACATCTGCCGAAGAAATGAACATCTTACTCCAGGAGCTGTTTGGTTTTCGAAAAGGTCGATCGACCGTACACCAACTGACCCGTGTAACAAACATTCTTAGAACGGACAAGCTTCCCTCCCTTAGCTCAGTCGGTAAAGGCGCAGCTACAAAGCAATATCATGCTGGAGGTGTCTGGGTTCGATTCCCGGTCCGGTCTAGGAATTTTTTTGGGTTGGAAAATTTCTCGACTTCTCTGGGCATAGAGTATGATTGTAATTGCCACACAATTATACTAATGCAAAAATGGTACAGGCATCGAAAGCTCTCAATTAATAACTGTGGAAGTGCATCTAGAACACTAAGTTGAGAGCACGCTATAAGCTAATATGCGATAAGCAATAAGCTTGAAATGCGAGGAAGAAGAAGAAGTAGAACGGATAAGGCTGTTTCTAAAACATCTGCTACGGCATTGTTGGACGTTGAGACAGCGTTCGTTAATGTCTGGCACGATGACCTGGTCTACAAATTGCAGCGATACGGTCTTCCAATATAACTATCTCTCGGACAGGACGATCCAGGTCTCTCTGAATGGCATCACATCGGATGTCTTCAACATCGGTGCAGGTGTGCCACAAGGAAGTATCCTTGGACCCATCCTGTTCAACCTGTTCACCTCCGATATTGCGGCTCTCCCTGATGGTGGATCGTTGTCTCTGTTCGCAGAAGACACATCCATCGTCTACAAGGGTAGGGTCATCGGAGCTCTGACTACCAAACTTCAGAGAGGTTTGGATGTCCTGTCTGAGTATTTCAACAGCTGGAAAATTCGTATCAACGTGGCGAAGACCCAGGTCATCATCTTTCCTCATTCCAAATCTCCCAGACTTGTTACGTCTGAGAATATTAAGATCAACTTGAACGGCACAGTGCAAGTTGTGGAATGATCAAAATAGGTAGTCTACCTCGGCCTTACATTCGACAGCAGTGGCGTCGTCCTAACCTCAATCTACCTATTAAACAACTCTGAAAACGTAATCAAATAAAAATTTGTTGCTTTAAATCGATACAGATAAGTGAAACTAGAAGACACTATATTCATTTCGAGACCAAATTGAATATAGTTATGACTCTAAATTACGATTTCCAAGTTGTCGAACAGGTTAAAAGTGAGGGTTCGAGACGTCGCTGCTCTACAACAGGCTGCTTCTCAGGGAACACGTTGACAAAACGAAAACCAAAGGCAGGGCTGGTGGCCATCACTGCTGTCAAAAACAGTAATTTCAGTGACCATGTTGAAGAAATAAGTGACTAAATAGTGACTTAAAGTTGTAAAAATAGTGACTAAAAAGTGGCCCTGAATTGAATTAAAAGTAAATTTTATTGAAAATTCTTAGGAATTTCTGAGGAGCACAACTCCTGTGTACTTCAAAGGAAAATTCCAAGGGCATTCTGATTATAATTTCATAAAAATTTTTGGTGGAAACAAATTCGGAGGATAAGTCCTTGATTTTTTTTTTTAATCTTAAAAAAAGGATTACAATTAAATCTGAGAATAACTCCAGGACATCTTCAAAGGAATTCGGAAAATAAATTCAGGAGAGTTTGCCAAACAAATTCTGAGAAGAAATCAAAGGAATTTGTGAGGAGACATGCCAATGAATTATGACACTTTCAATGTGAGTAGAGTTCCAAGGGAAGGAGTGAGATTCAAAAGGAAATCTGAAATGAATTTAATGAATATTTTGATAATCTTTACAAAGGGTGTCTTGTTGTGGAGAATTTCAAGGTAATTCCGAGGAAAACTAAAAGAAAATTGAATTCGGAGGATAGCTTCATCGAAATTTCTATTGAATATGTAATGGACTATTCTGAGAACTTCTCAAATTGTTCCTGAAGATAATGAATCTGCCTTGAAGTTCTTTTGTAGTTTGAGAAACTCACAATACTACTCATCAAATTCTTAAACTTCCCTGAACTTTTTAGGACTTCCTAAAGTTTCCTTAATTTTTCTAACGATCATGAATCTCTTCTAAAGGTTTAACAATTCGCTGAAGTTCACTAAACTTCTTTAAACTTTATGTGACTTCTCTAATGTTAGCGGAACTGCTCTGAGGTACTCTGTTCTTTTCAGAAATTCTCAAAACTGCTCTAACGTTTTTGCAGTTCTCATGAAGCATGCGCTGAATTTAATTGAACCATCCTAAAAATTTTTAAGCTTTAGTGAACTTCTGAACTTATACGAAGACCTCAATTAAATTTTAAACGGCTCTGAAGTTATCTGAAAAGCTGGGAACTGCTTTAAATTTCCCACTAATTTTCTGAAACTAATGGAACTGACCTCTCTCTGAAATTCCTCCCATTTTCGGAGCTTACTAAACTTCTTTCAAATGCTCCCGCATTTTACTAATGTTCCTGAAGTTCGCGGATCTCCCCCTTAAGCTCCATAGATTTCTATGAAGTTCTCGAAATGTTTCTGGAGACCACTGTCCTTCTGTGAAGTTTTCGAAGTTTTTTTTTTTTAATTTCTGGAACTTTTATGCTCCCGCAATTTTCATGGAATTAGAACGAAATAATTAATAAAGTTTTATGATTTTCACTGAAGTTCATGAAACTTCAATTAAATTATCGACACAAATTTAAAACTTCTTCAATAGTCTAGACTTTCCTGGTGTTATTAAAACTACCTAAACGATTATTGAGTTTCTTTAAAGTTCTCTAGACAGCCCTGAATTGATCAGTCTATTTTAAGAAGCCGCAACTTTCCTGAAATTAATTGATTTGCCTTGAAGTTTCGATAATTTTCCTTAAGTATTCTACCATTAAAAACACTCACTTATTTTCCCTGTACTTATCTATGCTTACCTGAAGTTCGCTAAATATGTTTAATAATCCGGCAAATTTTCTGATACATATATATTCAAAATTCCCAGACGTTGTTGGATCAATCATAGAATTCTTGGAATACCCCATAATTCCACGGAATTCCTTGTAAGTCGCTGCAAACTTGCTTAAGTTAATGGGATTTGATCGTCCTCGAAGTACTCGGAACTTCACTGAATATCATGAAACTATCTAAATTCTAATTTCTCTGGAATTTCTTTAAGATTTTTATCGCTGCTGGCTAAAAGTTCTCGCATTTTTTTATAAATTAATGGAACTTTGTTGATATTATCTTATCAACATAGCTAAATTTAAACCTTTAAAATACTCTCACGTTTTCCGGATGTTCATATAATTTTTATCACGTTCCAGAAGTTCCATCAGAGCTTTGCTGAAGTTTCCGGAACTTCTTTAAGGTTTCTACAATTTTCTTGAAATTATTTGAACTGCCCTTTGATTCTCTGTTCTCTCCTCATGTTCTCGAAGCTTCCCTAAAGCTCTCAATTCTATTGAAGATAAATTTCCCTGAAATCCTTTGAACTTCTGTGAAGTTCCTGAAATATTTCTGAAGTTTTCATAAATTCTTTGATGGTCTCTGTACTTCCCTAAAATTCTCAGAACATCTTAAAGGTTCTAAATTTTTTCTAAATTTACGATTATATATCTTTAAACTGCTGCAAAAAGTCTGAACTAAAGTCACGGGAACTGCTCTTAAGATCTGAAATTAGTGACTGATTACAAGAAACAGTGACTTTAGTGACTTGACCTTAAAAAAAGAAACTTTTTAGTGACTGCCTTGAAAAAAGTGGCCAAGTCACTAAAAAGTGACTCGCTACCAGCCCTGCAAATGGCAAAATTAATCTTTGAATTATTTGGATGATACTTCGATAACGTCGTAAGCACATAAACACTTTTTTTAGGAAAATTTGAGCTATCATTCTCAGTTCTCTTGGTAATTACTAAATTATAAAATGTACTAATCAACTTGCCCCTATAACCCTATTTGTACCTTTTCGTGACACACATGATTATTTGGTATTGAAAAACTATGGAGTAAAATGATGAGATTTATTTTAAAAATAAAAGAAATGCATACAACGGTTAACCTTAAATAACTATTATTCCGATGCAGGTTGTTTGGTCGGAAGACCAACTAAAAATGATGTTTCGTCTTCTCCAATAACAGGTTCGACAACTGCCAACAGAGAGGCTTTTCTATCTACTTCAATTCCACTAAAGGACCTTTGCCAGAGTACGTTAGCTTCAGTAGAGAACGTATCATTTTCGATCAGCTGGAGTTGTTTCTTGGAAAACAGTTTGCAGTATTTAATTTAACTTCTTTTTTGAAAAACCAATTTTCTCATGATGTCCTCTTATAGATTTCCTAACATGATAAAAAGGGAGTAAAAAAACTTTGTAACTAGATGAGGTCCCTTCTGGACCCCACACTATCTTTTCAGAGACGAACCACCCAACGGCTGAAAGTCTCTATAATAAAGAAATCAATCAATCAATCAATTTGTTGATGAATGTGCGACTGATTTGATTTTTTTTTAGTAATTATGAGTTACTCATAATAACTTACTGTAAAAATATTAACTTTGACTACAGCTGGCTTGCCCCTTGCTTTGTATATACAATAGACTGACTAGAAAATAGTGACCTAGCCACTAAAAAATGACCTGCTACCAGCTCTGAGCCCCAAAGAGCCCAAATAGCTATCGAACTTGAATGGGAGCATGATTTTTCTTAACAGACATCAAAATCAAAGTAGTAAATCAATATTTTCCAATAATTTTTGCCAAATTGTTTTCCAAATTGACTACGTTTGGCTAGTTTGGTACTTCGAACGGATAGACACGATTGTTTTCCAAAATGGGTCCTGCCATCGTTATCAAGTAGCAAAACAGACGAACAGGAGCATTTGGCATTTTGATTTGCTTTCCATAACGACCAATCGAAGATGGTAGCCGTTGCTTACATTTACGATAACGTTTTTTTTTTGTATAATTCCACAACTTTTCCGACATGGTTTTCGGTGCGATATTACAAAATATATGTTTTACCACTCTGTCCCCACACTTACCACATCATTCTAGCAGCAATCTTGACTTTCTTGTTTCTCACAGAAATGGAAGGTAAAAAATTCCAGCTCCGTTTCCGAGTGTTATTGCTTCCGTCCGCTGAGCCAGCACTTTCTACGCGGCGACAATAGTTGTATCCAAAATAATATACCCTAGGTACTCGGTATATGCCGCTCACCACTGTCTTCTATCCGCGTTTATTGTTACTCTCTACGTTTCGCTTTAATTTATTATTATTTGCTTCTTTCTTTACGTTCTCCTGCGCTGTACGTCGCAGTTTCTTCTTGTTTCACAGTAACTTCACTCGTTGGACAACGAATTTTTCATGTATTAATGGTGGCAGTTTTTGACAGCGCTGCGTCTTTCTTCTTCTTGGTTGCTCTCTTCCAGTCTCTCTCTCTGTTGATTGTTGTTGTTTTTTGTTGTCGACCGACCCTTCCCTAGCAATCCATGAAAAAGGGATGTTGTTGTTGTTGTTGTCACCGTTGTTGTGAGAGACCACGGAGGTTTTTGCAGAAAGAGAGACAAACGACGACGACGACTACTGTGAGAGTGCTTCTCAGGGCGGAGGCCGGATTTTGCCACCGTTGTTCAGTTGAGGGAGGATTTTTGCTCCTTTTTGGTTCGAATGGTTGTTGAATCGACGAGTACTACAATCCCTTTGTGTAAATGTTATGCCCTCGATAGTGTGCGGTATAATATTGGTGTACTCTCTCTACAACAGGCGTTGTTAGCTTAGCACGAAACGAACGGAACGGAGCAAAGAAGATAATGTACAGACGATGCAATTTTCCCTTCTGGCCGCTTGCTACGGCTGGAAGATGGTGAGATTGTGTTGGTGCTGGTTCTGCTTGCGCTGCTGCTGCTGTTGGTCTCTGGATGATGATGGAAAAATGGAAGATACGTTTTTTTTGCGATTTTCTCGAGCTAAATCTCGACGAGTTGGAAGGAGGATGAGAGAGTTCGGGACACGGCGATGACGATGGGAGGATTCTCCGGAAATATTTCAACACTGCACTCTAGACACAACGGTGATGGTTCCGGTTTGATGGGCTTATTTTTCCATCTGTCAGCACACCCACTCTTCAAAAGGGCTCACCACTTTTTCTTCTTCTAGCTTCTTCAAATTCACTTCCTGCTTCTTTCCCAGGGGAGCACGCAACACTAATAAATTTTCATCGGTTTAGCACTACATCACAATCGCACAAACAGAGGCCTGAATTAAATTTTCTTCACACACACCTCCCCCACGGTTAAAAATCATCGATGGCTGTTTTCCCAGCTTACAGACCTCAGAAACACTCCCGATTTTTTTTTTCCGGGAGGCCCCCTCTCTCTCAATCCTGACCTGACTAGCAATTATATCGAAATTAAGGCTGCGGTCGAAAATCGAGCAATTTTTCACACATGACGACTTGTCGCCGTTTTTTGCTGCTGCTGCTTCCTTCTCCCTTCCTTCATTGACCTCTTCCAGTGCCAGAAGCGACAGACACAGGAGATCCCGCAAAGAATAATTTCTGCTTCGTTTTCTTCCACACCTTATTCCGCACCGCGGCAGCAATCGCACTCTTGTATTCTTTTTTCAACGAGCAAAAAAAAAAAAGTTATCACCAAGGCAGGCAGGAAAAATCGAAACCCGTCCGAGTCGCAGCCCGAAAATCCGAAACTCCGTCCTACAATATACTAGAAGTAGGCGACGGACGACAGCAGACTATTCGCGGTCTGCCCCACCAATCTTTCAGAGAACCGTCGCGCAATCGTAACCCGTTCCACGGTGAGAAAAACGATCCGTCTTCCGATTTCCAACAACGCCCCGAATGCGACTCGCAAACAATAGAACACACACGATACCGTTTTTTTTTCTTCCTCCTAGCACTCAAACTTCTTCCAGGTTGTCGCCATGTTTTGGATTTGGATGATGAACAATCTGAACTACACTGACTGACTGACTGAACTCCACACAGGAAGAGCTGCTGGCTGCGCGACGACGACACGGGTCTCCGCTCCGGTCGAAGAAAAGAACCACGAACGAATAGCAAACAACACAAACCTCTGGCTTTGGCTCGCTTGCACCGAAACACGAACACGAGCGAATGAATGAAAGAATGAATACCTACGTTCGAATGAACGGGATCAATGAAGTCCGAGAGTGTAGTGGTGTTCCATCATTTTGGAGCGACAGCAGTGCACTGTTTTGTCGTGTGTTGATGACGAGATCGATGATCCATGAGTGTATGTGTGTGCGTGTGCAACTCCCTCAACATCGCTTCCAGCCAGCGTTGCCAATATTTTTTTTTTTTAAACTGGAAGAATGCTAAAAAAAAACTGGAAAAAACTGGATTCTAAAAATAACTAAAAAACAGCAGTATGAATCTTATCCTTTTGTAATAAATCTGAAATTAGATGTATTAATTTGAGTAAATGATGTCTCTTCCTCATACCCCCGTAAAATTTATCATTTCTTGATGAACATTTCAATAGGTCCTATCTGATTTGATCGACTTGCTCTATTGATAATAATTCAGTTGCAAGAATATTCCCAGCTGTGTTTGTCGTTTTGGGCGCTTTGAAATAACCTCATGCAAACACAAAGTATGTGGCGAAAATAACACTAAATGTGCTTGCATAGCCGTGGTTATCAAAAGAGAAACTCGATAAAGAGAATCAATCAATTCAGATAGGACCAATTGAAATTTTCATCTAGATTTCATGGAATAATGCTAATTTATTGACACTAAATGTAATTTAATTCGTCAGCAAAAACGTTATTTTCTGATTCATTGGAAACAAATCGCGCCGAAAACGTCACAGAAATCGTTTAATTGCTGGGACGGTTTTGACGCGTTTTGTCTTCAATTAAACAGACAATCTGATCGTGTAAATTCGCTGAAGTGTTCTGTTTTTATTGTTTTAACGCATACGATGGAAATTGGGGCCATATGACGAATACTGAATACTGTAAATGAGCAAATGTTGATGTACTCAGAAAAGATAAAAATTGAGGCAGTTTTGACTTGATAGCCAACAAAATGGAAAAATGAGTGTTTAGTATACTAAAGTAGCAGAAAGTTTTACTTCTTTCGTTGGCGAATCATACGTATGTAAAATGAAAACTTCTTTTGTAAACAAAAATATTTATTTGTAACAATTAAACAAAACTTAACAGTTAAAAGTCATTAATTCTCTTTGTTTTCTTTCTCCCTGCCGTCCTTTCTGGTTGCTTCATACATATTATAATTGTATTTGGCCCTCACATTCTGTTTAATATTAACAGACCCCGATTTGTCACTATTGAAACTAACGTAGTTTTTTGTAGCCAAAATACCTTTCATTGTGCTTGTACCCAGCCTGTTCCGAATTTTGGTTTTATTTATATTGTAAGTTGAAAAAACTCTTTCAACCGTGGCTGATGAATGGGGCAATATCAATAATCTGGGGATTAATTCTCGTAAATTTGGGAATGCATATGAATCATCATATATTTTAAAGACAAAATCTTGCCCCAGAATAATATAGCATCCTTCTCCTGACCTAAATCTTCAAAATCTATGTTCCTCAGTTCCCGGAACTCATCATCCGTATCTTGATATTTGGAAGGATGTACAATATTTGGAATGCTGCGAATCAAGGGCAAAATGGTGGAATGTTTTCCATCCAGCACATTTTTTGGATCAAGAATTGACATATTGCTGATCAACGGATGATTGAAATCAAATCTTTTTAAAATCTGATGAGACAAGGTAATATAGAACCGTATAATATTTGTTCTGAACTCATTCAAATCATTGCTATTGATTTTGTTCTCTTTTACATATTCTTCAATCAAAAGTGCTGCTGCAGCTCCTACATAAACCTGATTTAAATCAACATAGTTTTTTTGATCGAACTCCACATCATTCAAATTTTGAAGCGATTTCATATAATCTGATCGAAAGTAATTATCCAAAACCGTTTTAAAAAGCCGCGTAATAGTCGAATGTAAAACATGCAATTCGGACGTTTCACTTTGAAACAGTTTGTTAATTTTGTTCACTAGATTCAAAGCATACGTTAAGAAAGTAAGATAAAGATTCGTGCAAGGATTGTTTAGTCCATCAAAAATGGTCTTAACACGGTTTTTTTCTACTTGATCCACATTCTGTACAAACCCGAAGTAAATCCTTAATGCTTCGTAGCGCTCCAACACCCGTTTCACCACGCTTTCAAGGGAAAGCCAACGAGTTGCGGACGGGTGGAGCATCTTAAGGGGCTTTAACTCCAGCAGCGTCTGTATGTCTTTAAATTTACTGTTTCGTAGTGGACTGCAACTTAGGTACGAATAAATATCCTTACAGAGTTGTTCAACTTCGTCAGGGATGTGTTTGCATGAATAAGCAGCGCACAGTGCCATACTATGACAAACACATTTAAGGATAAATAAAGAAGGACAGTCTTTATTAAGCAGTGCTCCAAGAGACTTCACTGGTCCGGTCATGTTTAACGCACCGTCCGCAGCGTAACCTAACAAGTTCTGGCGATATGGTATCCCTGCTCTTTCAAAAGAGGAAACAACTTCCTCGTACAGGGTTCGCGAGTCAGTCTCTGTCACTTCGATCACATCGTAAAAGCAATCTCGAACTTGTAGGGCGTCTTGTTTCCAAAAGAAAGTCCGTGCAACTAGAACCAATGATTTTTTTGTCGACACGTCGGTAGACTCGTCCGCAATAAGGCTAAATGGATGATGTTTCAAGTGCTCGCTCAGATCTTCTAGTTGACCCTCTCCCAGCACATTTGTAATTATAGATGTTGCTTTTGTGCGGCCTAATCGTATAGTTCTAGCGATTTCGGAATCTGGACAAATTATAGGCAAGCATGCAGCAAATGCCTTAATATCCGACGCAGATTTATTGTTTGCTGCAGCCCAAGCGCATAGTTGTAGCTCTGAGTTGCGAGCTTTGCTATTTAACTCACCGCCCGTGTAATGCTTCATGCTTTTGGATACAATTTTTACTTCCTTTGCTTTCTGTAGATGCTTTTTGCGCTCGCTATGCTTATGAAAATCAATTATTCCTGCCCAGCACTTAATATCAACGTCGCAGATAGTGCAATGACCAGCATGATTGTCCGAGGATGATGCAATCAGCCATGGAAGTTTAAATTCCCATTCCTTGGAGTATTTTTGACCAGCTTTCTTTGGATTTTTCGACGATTTCACGACAGTCACCTACGATAATTAAATAAATGGCTTGTTATAAAATAAAGTAAAAATTGCAGGATTATTTTACCAGTTCTGACTCATCGTTGCAGTCGCTATCATCAGCGCTAATATAATCGACCGTCTCCTTTTGATCGTGCTGAAAATCCTTTGTGATATCTATCGAAATTTTGTTAACTGATTGATTCGTCAGTAACGCCTCAGTTCTAGTTAGCGATCGAGAGCAACCAGCTATATTTTTAAAGTCATCACGAGACCTGAATGCATCCTGAGAACCATTTTCATCCCCTATTAAAAAGTGCGCAAACATTAGCTGTTGAATTATTTGACCAAAAAATGTTAAGTATACCATTTCTGCTGGTACCGTTATTTAGTTCGTCGAATTTCCATGCACAACCCTCTTCTGTGAACTGTGAAGGCTGGTCAGTTGATTGTTTCTCTGGTAGAAAATTGCTTGGGTGTTGATTACCAGTGGTTGGAACCCTTCGAGAAAATCCAGAGTGTTTTTCATCGTCATCATGTTGTCGAGATGTTATGTCATTATTACGAGACTCATTATTAGCTTCTTCAGCTTTTTTCACATCATCATCACGTTCACGAGAGCTTGTATGGTTGTCCTGAGACTCGGCTCCTAAAAATATAATAAACACGCAAAAATGATTAGCAATCGATGCTTTTTGAACAGGCATTTTCTTTTTTGAAGAATGACTACAAATGCGGAGTTAATGAGAACTAAGCCAGGCAGAGCACAAGATAGACTAAGAGCTCTTTTACCAGCTGATGTTCTAATTCATAATAATTGCAGTTGCAATTATTGTTTGCAAAGAGCAAATTGCCTATCATCATATTACTACTCAATTATGCATTAGGGAAAGCTGATAACATACCGAAGATTTTGAAGTATTTAAGTAAATTTCCTGCATTCGGAACTGCTTTTCGTTTCGGCATTTTTCACAAAATACCGCCAAATTTGACAAACAGGATAGGTTCACAAAAAGCCAATGTAGACGTCCTTGAAAATGAAATTCGTGGAATTCACATTCAGTACTGAAATGATTATAAAAAGAGATTAATGATATAATGGACATTTTTTGTAGCCTAAATCAACAACAATGGTGACAAAGGAGGGAAATATTCAAAACATGGGTTGGCTTAAAAAAAGGCCAGACATGAATCGGATCGTTAAAGCGGGATTAGTTTGAATCAAATATTTTTATAAACTCGTATTGCACAACACCATTGCATAAATTCATAAGTTATTTGACTCAAAAATTGGAAAATGATACATTACTTCAGTTATGTTCGGATTTACTTCGGCAAATGCCGGAAACATTCCAACACTCCAGAAATTACGATTCATGGGAATGCAAAACCACTTAAACAAGCACGGATTCAGAAGAAACATATTGATAAACCTTAGATAAATCACTTCAAAATGCTTTGGAATAACTGTCGAATCGCTTAATAAATATCAGAAAATCGACACATCAAATGCAAATAGAGAATGGCACCTTCACAGCAAAAAAAGTTGTTGAATATTACATCGAAACTGCTGCAACCAGGTCAATCCATCGGTTGTGTAATATCACATTGTACGATGTACATCGATTTTGCGAACAAAATTACATCCATTGATGTAATATTGTATCTGCTTTTTGCTATTACATCACTATTTCATACATCAGCTTGAATTACGTTGATCGATATTACATTTTTTTTTTGCTGTGTTGCATAGAGCTTTTTGACGTTTAATCGGCGCACACTACTACACCATTTAAATCGAACGAGTGCGAGCAAGAGGGAAACAGATTAGTGGGAAAACAAACCGCCGATTCATCCATGCGTGCT